ACCACCACCACCAGCACCACCACGACGACGACTACTACTACTACTACTCCTCCTGCTACTCCTACTCCTACTACTACTACTACTACTACTACTACTACTACGACTACTACTACGACTACTACTACTACTACTACTACTACTACTACTACTACCACTGCTACTACTGTGCTCCCGCTAGTGCTACTGCTACTGCTACTGCTACTGCTACTGCTACTGCTACTGCTACTGCTACTGCTACTTCTACTTACTACTACTAGTACTACTACTACTACTACTACTACTACTACTACTGCTACTGCTACTTCTACTTACTACTAGTACTACTACTACTACTACTACTACTACTACTACTAGTACTACTACTACTACTACTACTACTACTACTACTACTGCTACTACTACTACATACTAACTGTCCTTTCCACGTGATTTGTTGGCGAAACAGCGCTTTCTCCGCACAGGCTGGCAACAGACCTGTCGCGAGAGCCGGCTGAGAATGGCTTTAGTTCCTGGGGTTGGGATCACCGCTCTTGGAGCTTGGCGTGCAGCTTCAGGATCCATGCTGCCGAGTCCTTCTTCGGTCATTGGGTCAGCAAGATCGCACGATTACCTTATCTATAAGGAGAGCTACCCCAAACCTTAAACCCAGAGCACCCTAAACCCTAAACCCCTAAAACCCTAAAACCCCTAAACCCTGTAAAGGTTACCCCTAAACCTTATAACCCTAAAACCCTAAAACCTTAAAGCCCAATCTTGGGTGGGGCCGCTTGAAGGGTTGCGTTGCGAAGTTTCGATTGTGGGGACTCCGGGCCGGCAGAAGCTGAGAGTTGAAATGCTCCGCATCAATCCTTTTCGTATCGTACAGTACAGTACAGTAGAGTATAGCATAGTGAAGTATAGTATATTGTAGTATAGTATAGTATAGTATAGTATAGTATAGTATAGTATAGTATAGTATAGTATAGTTTTGGTATAGTTTAGTACAGCATAGTATTTTATAGTATATCGTATCGTATAGTAGTTCTAAATGCTGCAATTGTCGGATGCTTTCAACTTTCAACCACACATATGTCTGACGCTAATGTATCCTGCAAAAAGTGTTCAGAGTGCGCTGGGCTGCACGGCTTTCTGCTCATGCTGACAGAAGGAGTGCATTCGGAATTCACCCTTGCTAGGTCGCAGGGCGTGGGTACGGCACCCTTATAAAAAGGACCCTTAAAGGGACCCTAAATTAGACAGCTACCCACAGAGTTGAAAGCCCCAGCATGAATTATGAAGAGGCTTCATGGTCATGAGCATGCGATGTTGCACGCAATTAGTGGGGGATGAGGTCCCAAGACTTGCAAGAAGTACCCCAGTACTCCAAGATGTGAAATGGAAGCTATATCTCAGATCAACATGTCCCCTTGAATCGTTTGGGCATCCGGTGCCGACATCTTTTCGTTTTTGCCGTCAGCATCCGTGTCCTCGCTTGTTACTATCGTTGTCCCCCACCCAAAACCAGCCCGAAACTAGAAACCCCGGACCTAAACCCTAAACCCTAAACCCCAAACCTGGCTTCCAGGTGCGAGCAGACAGAGAGGTCGTGCTGGCTGCTGTGCGTCAGGACCTGACGCTTTGAGCAGATGCACACAACTCAAGCTTTAGCTGCTCATAACCAAAAAGAGGTACACTATAATCTAGCAGAATAGTAGCTTATAACATAATACGATAGTATGGCATATGCATGGCATATCATAGGATAGTGAAGTAGAGTATAGTACAGTGTCTAGTGGTACATCTCAACCGGGAGAAGTTATTTGACATGCCAACACTTTGCGACGGACCTCCCATGGTGTTTCAATGCCAGTAGGTACCGTAGCATTCCACTACCTGATACAGCCAGCTGTGTCACGTTCATATCAAGTGGAGCTATCGAGACCATGCACCATGGAGATACCTTGATCACCGGGTTTAGGGTTAAGGGTTTAGAGCATGGCAAGAGGCTGATGATTGTTGTAGCACCGGCACATCGGTGGTTCTCTAAATTAGGGTCCCGTTTAAGGTCTTTTTTTACAAGGGTGCCGTAATATTTTGGGTTCCTAGAACGGGACCCTACTTTAGAGAACTAGCCTTATAGTACCCTTCTAGGCACCCTATAATAAACTCTTATAGATCCCCTTAAGA